TGAACGCGGCGTCCTCCGCAGCGCCACCTCCCGGAAGAGCCGGGGATGGCTCGGTCCGCGCCCCGCCAACCGGCCGAGAGAAGCCCGGGTGGGCGTTTTTGAGCTGGAAATCCTGAGCAGATGGAGCGTGCAGATCACCTTCTGCTGCGGCCGGTTTTACTGCGAGGCGAGGTGCCCGGCAGAGGCAGGGGGCGGCCCACGGTCAGGTCGACGGCGCTAACATCACAGCGCCATCGGTGCGCAAACGGCCCGGGCCTTTGACGTTTGTTACGTTACAGCCGGTAAATGTGCTTTGTGAAGGATATTCTCTTTTTTCTTTTTTTGGTTTTTTTCTTTCTTTTTCTGAGACAAGGTCTCAAATGTAGCCCAGGCTGGCCTTGAACTCACTATGTAGCCCAGGCTGGCCTCCGACTCGTGGTGACCCTCCTGCCTCAGCCTCCCAAGTGGTGGGGTTGCGGGTGTGCGCCCCACACCGGCCTCTGTAGGGTGTTTATTTAGCCGAAGCGCTTTTGCTAAACCTAGTCTTTGGGATTGGGGCCTGCACAGCTCTCGCTGTCTCTGGAGAAGTTTCCTCCCTGGAGTATGATTTTCCGAGAGAGGAGCATGCACCACACAGAGGTCAATACAAGTTTTTCCTCCTCAAAATAATGTATGGGTCCTCGAATTCAATTCGTCACGAGATGGTCAACATTTGGTACGTGGACCGCGACCTGGTCCCCAAGAGAGAACAATCAGAGCGCTCAAGGTATTCGGCCACAGTCCTGAAAAAATACGGTTTCGAGGTGGGTGTCCTTTGTGATTTCTGAACCGCCTCGTTGAGCATATGGGGACCCTTCATTTTGGGGGAATCTCACTCGCCATAACGCGCAGGGACCCACCGCAAGGAAATGCCCCAGCGCGTGCAGAAAGCACAGGTCTCCAGGCCCTTTTTTCCACTGCCCGAGCTGCTCGGAGGCCAGCGGGCCCCGCCCCGAGATTCCAGGGGTCATCAAAGGTCAGCTTTCAGCAGCTCTATCTTCGGGGCTGGAAGCCACTGCAGAGCTGTCAACCGGCCCGGTGGCGGCTGCGACCCCTGGAGATCTCGGAAGAAGCGGGGGGGGGGGGGGGGACCCCCCCCCCCC